GTGGAAAAGTCACAATTTCTTTGAGAAGCAGAAGCACATGGGAGTAGCTGAAGTGCTAGCATATGCTGGCAACAACTATTACCCTCCAGCAATGTAAAAATCATGCCTAAGTCATTGGTGCTTTTGCTACTTGAAAGTATTTAAGTTGATTTTTTTTTTTTCTGGAAACCTCCATGGCTCTTTCTACCCTTTCTGTTTCATGGGCTTCAACTCAAGCAAATTTCCAAAGCCAACACTGCTACGCCTAAAATTAAGTTTCTTTGTTTTTTTTTTAAATCTACAAGAAAGTTGGTGGTTTCTTCTTTTGGGGGATTATTTTATAAAAAAGTGGATGACATTTTCCACACCCTGGCAAGCAAGTACCAATTTACCGTTGAAACGAATATGTCATAAAGCGATTGCTCTTCCTAACTTTCAGAATAAGAGTTGCATTGATTACAACTACGTTTTGCTCATCAAAAGTCAGCTGTATATTTAGTTAGGGTGGAGGGATAGGAAAGTGATAAAAAAATTAGAGAAAATAATAAGCAGATTGTAGCAACTAGGTTGATCCTGGAAGCCAAAATGGCGAAGGCTCGATAGAATGCAGTACGAAAGAATAGTACAGGAAAAGATGTAGGGGCTATCGGACGCAGCTCACGCAAAACTTTAATCACGTTAATAACAAAATATATAAATCAGCACAAAAAAAAAATACTTACACGTACACACACACGCACACACAAGGGAGCAGGCAGGGCGTGGTGGTCACAGCGCAATCAAAGAGCGGAGCAGAGGGGGTGCCGTGTGTGCAGCGCTGGAGACGATCGATGAGCCAGTAGTGCACTTACTGTGCACTACGGGGGGCATATTGCCCCTCCTTAAACTTTGTGTCAATAATACTGAAGACAAAAAATACACGCCACAACGGGATTATGATAGCGCTTATTGGAAGAGGAAAAGAGAAAGAAAACAGGAAAAAAGAGAAGGGGAAAAAGTAATAAAATTTTGTAAGAAAAATCTGCATTGAAATGTATGGTGTGTCAGTAATACTGAAGACAAAAAATACGCGCCACAACGGGCAAAGATGTAGATCACTGATACCTCCCGCCAGCGCAAGAATTCGTAATGAAATTAGACGTTTCAGTCCATTAAGTCATGTACGTCTTAACTCAACACCGCGACTGGACCTCGTCAGCATGACAGTGCTTATTGGGTGAGGAAAAGAAAAAAGAGAAAGAAGACACGAAGAAAGAGAAGGGGAAAAAGTAATAAAATTTTGTAAGAAAAGTCTGCGCTGAAATTTGATCGGATAACGTGGATGTAATATCAGTCGTAGCAGTGAAAGAAAGTAGGACAGTTTTCTCGTCCTTTCGTTCTCTCGTTCACACTTTTTCATACGAGCAGGAGTGATTATGTGGAAAGATACGAAAGGACGAAGGAAAGTGCGGGAAAAAAGATTTTTCAATAAAAACCTCAGCAATTAAAATGTTTTTTGATGCTCAGGTGACAAAACTGGATCGTGATGCTGGCTCGGGTACATCGTTACAAGAAATGACATTTTGGTTGAATTTGGAACGAGCGCTGCAAAAAATCGCACAAAAAAGAGAATCAGAAGAGGTGACTCTGACGTTAGAAGCGTTAAAATGCGGCAAACGATTTCATGCAACTGTTTCGTTCGATGCCGATACGGGTAATTTTTTGCTGCTGTGTTTCGTATGCATGCTTTTTTTCGTCAAAATAGTGATTCAACAAATTACTTTACCTTTTTTCCCGACATTTTTGGTAAATCCTTACCGCTGATGTAGCTGTTATGCTGTTTTTGAAGGTTTCCAGTTCACTACATACGCCGGTTTGCTCCATATAGGTATGAATTAGTTCTCACATGAGTTGTAATGACTTGAAAT